TAATTATTTTGAATAGAATTTATTACTTCATTAATATAATACTTTTTTGTAATATAAAAATAAAAATTAGTTTAAAAATTACAAATGAAGACAAATAATAGACTATCTTGTTTCTCAATCTTTTCTAATGTACAGTAATAATAAATACAGTAATAATAATGGCTGGACATTTGACCCTCTACTAGTTTTTGACCCAGCATGGAACCAACAGGGCCACGCCTAAGGCAGTGGTTGCATTTCCGAGCAGAATGCCGAAAATTAGTCTTTGAACTAATCTGGATACTGTATATAACCATTGTCAATGTATCATACAGAAGTTAAGTTCTGTGCACATTTTTCCAAGACATTTTCCGCGCAAATTTGAGCTAGTTTTCAAGGTATCCATCCACATTCCACGACGAATAAACTGGCATTTTAGTAATGCTGTAGTAGTAGTAGTAGGTCCTAGATAGTTTCATGGACCTAATAATGAACATATAAATTAATGTACTTTATTTAAAATAGTGTTGTTTGTCTAATGTTTGAAATATTATATAGTTTGTATGCCTATAGGCCTAAACTAGGGCCCGGTGCCTAGGCCGCGCCAGGCAGTAGAGTAGTATTCCGTATTCCGCTCTACATACATACTGTACAGTAGTACAGGTACTGCACCAAAAGCTAGGCTATGCCTACACAGGTAAGACAAGTTGGTATTAAACAAACCTATTTAACGCCACTATTAAGATCACCACTTCCAAGACTTCCTTATCCAAACCAGCAAACATATCTTTTTGAAAGATTGATTCTTCAAAAATGCCTTCGACTTATTATATTATATTATTATTATTGAATATTTTCGCCAGTCATAATTTTTCAATTTTCCGCTCGCGACGACCAATCTCATCAGTTGGCTGTGTCGTTACCAGCTCGTTACGGTTGAGTGAATCAGCTGCCTCCCTGTCTAGTGCAAATTTCCGAAATAAAAACTGGGGCAAATCGTTATTTTACACATAATTGAGACATTTTCATAAGTGAAAACCCATATAAATGAAAAGAACGGCCAAATTTACATTGGAATATTTAAAGTTTGACACGATTTTTTATGGGTTTACCGAATTCAAGCCTTTGAAAGTCGGTACATTTTTAACACTAGCTCAAAATCCTGTAGCACCAGTTTTTTTTTTTTTTTTTGGGACCCAGTTCACGAGCCTCGTTTTCGAATACCGCGCTCCAAAGTCGAGTGCCGTCACCTATCCCTCTATTTTAAATTAAAAATTAATCGTTTCATCCCCGCACTTCCCCTTTAAGTACAAACAGCATTCACATGTTGTCTAATGTTTTAATTTAATTTTTTTTTTTGTTATGATTTAAATGTATTAAGCGATTAATGAATTATTGAATAATCCAAACTTATTTTAAAACACTAATTGAGCAAGCTTAATACTATTAGTTATTTTAATACCATGCAAGTTTAATGAAAAATATGTAATGTGAGGATAAACGCGTCAATTTAAATGAATACTGAGATAAGTACATGAGTACCAATAATCAAAATTTACATAACATTTTTCTTGTCATGAAATACTTAGGATAAATGTATGATAAAGGTATACAGATAAACGATAATGAAATATGTGATGATATTAATTGATAAAGAATTATGTGAAGAATATTTGAATGGCCAGTAAACATGACAAGATAAATTCAAATCGTATAAGTGTAATAGAAGCAATTGATTTTTAGCAAATAAGTAAGTAAATAATATTAGTTAAGTTAAATGAAAGTTGAATTTAATTCCTAAACCATAAAGTTGTTTTACTTTTATATAGTCTGTGTATTACGTTGGATATGGCAAGACTAGAGTTTTACATACAATCTAATGTTAAATTGATAAGACTGAGACACATGCAAAAACGTGTATCAGATTGATTAACCACAGTGTTCAAAAATGTTATTTATTTTAATTTTTAATGAAAAGAATGGAGAGATAAAGAGAGGGAAAATGTGAAATTGATGGTAATTGACATGTACGGTATTCATCCTGCAAAATATGTCAATTACCATCAATTTCACATTTTCACTCTCTTTTTCTCTCCATTCTTTTCTTTTTCTTAAGATTCAATAATATTAACTTATATAACCATTAGGATTTGTATATCATCGATATTCCTTCACCTGTTAAATGTCTTAAATTGACTTCAGAGCATTAATACTGCCGTGATTCGGAAGAACGCATTATAAGTCAAAATCATAGTTTTAGGATATTGAGCAAAACGCGTTTCTTGTTAGCCTTTTGTTATGGAAATGAATTATATTGAATTTTTTGTGTAAAAGTACTAATTACACAACAGAAAAACATACTGAAGTACTTTTTATATATATATTTTTCTATAACCCAGTCAAAATGGACATAATGCGTTTTTCCAAATTAAAACAAAAGCCAATAAAGCATGAAAAATCTGATGTTAGGAATTATATCCAGTTTTGCCAGCAGAATACATGAATTATTCTAGAACATTTCCTAAGGGTTTTTGTTTATAATATAAACAGAAACCCTTAAGAAACATTGTTGCATTCATTCTCATAAAATATTTACAAAAATGTGTCTGATCTGATTTAGTAAATGTTGTATTTCCCCTAAAATATGGTATGGTACATGTAAAATTTAAATTAAATACTATCATTAACCACTACAGAAAGAACAAGCAACAGCACTGTTAGTAAGTTTTTACAACATAAATAATCAGTTTATTTAAATTCACTATGAAGAATACCCGCCTTTTAATTTAATAAACAAAAAATAAATACCCAACTTCTAAACACACTTCTTCAGGCCCATTTATAAATTTCTGTTTCCTTAAATTATAAGGAAGTGTACTCATTTAAATATAGCTAAATATTTTAAATGTAAATTTAGCATAGGTATTATATCTAAATTTCAAGCATTTGCTTAATGGGAAAGTCTAAGTAAAACATTTTTAAGTTTGATATGTATGTATTTTATTTTGTTTGTTGAATGGTCTTAGTTATAATAATAATTATTAATATTACAGACTAAAAATTATATTATGGCCACAATTTGGACATAGCAGGTGAATAGTTTTCGCTGAGTAAGATTTGCTACTTTCTGTAGTTGTTTCATTACATAAATGCCATCATTGCATCCTCTTTCCCGTCTGAAGCCCAACTGAGTTTCCATCAATTGGGCTTCATAGAACTCGTCTAGCCTAGACAGTATGATGCTCATGGCTACCTTGGAAAGAGTGGACCAATTGAAATACCTCGGTATTGTGTGACATCTTGTTGTGATACCTTTTTCTTATGGATTGCAGATATTTGTTTTTGTTCCACTCCTGAGGTGTTTCCTTGTTGACCCAGATTAATCCAAAATAGGTTTTTATTTTCCCCTTCTTACCTTTAGGAGTTCTGCTTCGATATCGAGGGAAGACTTACCTGCTTTTGGATGTTTTACGGCTTGGTCAATTTCTTCCATTAAAGGCTCTGCATTGTTGATTTCTGTATATTTGCTTTGAAGTTTTGTAATACAGTATAATAATAATAATAATAATAATAATAATAATAATAATAATAATAATAATAATAATGATATATATATATATATATTATTACAATATTATTAATACAGTATTATATATATATTATATTATTACAATATTATTAATACAGTATTATTATTATTATTCTTATATCTATATATATTATTACAATATTATTAATACAGTATTATTATTATTATATCTTATTATTATCTTAAATTAGTTGCCAAATATGTACTGATAGTCATCATTGTTATTTTTCGTTTATATATAGTTGGTAATGGAACAATTGTATTTATGTTTATAATTAGTTTTATTTTACAGGGCTACACAGGAAAAGGTTATAGCATCTTATGTAGGCCCTTTCCACTTCTTGTTTAAGCTATTCGTTTGAAAGGGTGACCCAGAAATTTGGATAAAATAAACCTTGGTCAAGTTATTTACCGGTTAGATAACTGACACATTTGGGCTGCCAAGACCTGATCCACTAGACCAAGATTTAGTTGACCCAAACTATTGAGTCAATCTGACCAGTTCGGGTTCGTTGTGGACTAACTCAAAATTTGGGTCAGTATTTTATATATCCCCGATGACGGGTTGCGACGACCCAGCATGTGGTAAACTCAACACAAACATTTGGGCAAGCATGACCCAAAAACTTGGGTTAGCCTGACCCTGATGTAATAATTGACTAAATATTTGAGTCATGCTGACCCATATTTTTGGGTGATCAGCATGACCAACAATCTGGCTCATCCTGGGTTCATTATGGACTGATCCAAATTATGGGTAACAATTGACCGAATTTGGGTAAAAATTGACGCAAGTGTGTAGTGTGTAGACTATATGATTACAGTATATTCTCTTTTTAATTCTGCCAGACTCTTTCCTATCGGTACATAATAACTTTTTAACGACGTCTACAATAATGCATTTTTAATTATAATAATCATATTTACCATCGATAAATAAGCCTTTTTGCTATTCTGGTCTGTCTTTGAGGTAAAACAACACCTCAGAATAGCTTGCCCCAAAACGTTTTTACATTTTATTGTTTCTTTATATATCGTATATTTTATTGTTATTTATGTACTTTATGTTGTCATGAGAAAAACTAATTTCAAATTTTAATTTGACAATAAAGCTATTTTGTATCTTGTATCTTGTCAAACTCCAAAATGTATTAATGTGTATGTACTCCCTAGTTGGTAGTCCTAATTATAGCATTAAGGTAAGTGTACTAGTTCAACTTTCCAATGCCATTATAATGCTATGTCTAACGTTGTTGCGCAAATCAAAATTTCAGATATTCAACGATCCTATACATGGACATATCGAGATGCATCCATTGTGTTGTTCTATTATGAACACGTTTCAGTTCCAGCGCTTACGACTGATCAAACAGCTTGATTTCTGCTACTTCGTTTATCCAGGAGCTTCCCACAACCGTTTTGAACATTCTATTGGGTATGTCAGTCTACTTAAATATAATTATTTTTTCTGTCCCTAAAATCTAATCATCCATCACCTAGTTGTACATTATGTTATCGTCTACATTTTATGGAGAGCAGCTAGCTCAGTCGGCTTAAACGCTTTTAGATTTTACTATTATAAACTAAGCTTGGAATCACAATTACGGTAGGAGAAAGGTTTTTTCGTGTCAATTAAATATAATTGAAAAGTCAAATCCAAATTATATGTTTTGTTTTTTTTATGTTTAAAAAATAATTCAATAGAAATACAGTTTGTAGGTGTTACATGTACTAGATATTTCTGTGATTTATTGATAAACGTTGTTTTTGCATTTATCCAGAGTATCGCATCTTGCTGGTAAGTTAGCAAGAGTACTGCATCGGAACCAGCCAGATTTGAACATAACTTACCAAGACGTACTGTGTGTTGAGATTGCAGGACTGTGTCATGACCTAGGTACAATTCAGGTTCAAATAAAAACATTTTCACAAGTGGTGCATGTTAAAATCACACACAGACACACACAACCGCCCCTCCTCCACCCCCACACACACCCACACACCATGAATTGCTCGATTGGGTGTCCGTGGCCAGGCGTCACTCAGTTCATGTAAAATGTTTCAGTTGAAATCAGGCATTGCTTATGATACTACCGTTTATGTCCTACCGGTCAGATGTAAGACAAAGAAGCAAATAATAATGTAAGTCATGTATATAAAGGTCATGAATACTTTGGTAAGTCATGAGTATATAAGAGTTGAAATTAAAATGAAAGTGATATTGTAATGAGTTGTTTGTTTAGTGACGGTTTCCCTCAAGCAATATAAAGGGCTTCTTTTATTTTAAGTTGTGGGCGGAGTCAAGAATAGTAATGCAGTTTGAATTAGATTTTTTGCATTTAAAGGAGTTTTGAAGACGTTGAAAATGTGTGGTGACTTGTCGGGACGTATCATTTTTCCCATATAGTTAAGGCAGAAATGATAGAGGGCGCTATTTAGTTCAGTTAAGTAAACCGACACAAATGAATATGCATGCCAGACCTCTCGCGGAACAGAGTTTCTTGATGTATTGAGTGAGCTACAGTTGCTATGCGTGGTTGTCAAGACAGTGTGAAAATTAATGAACTATAATTGTAATAATATATTATCCATATGACTAGACACAGTTTATGTACAGCAGGTTTTTTGAAAGTATAATAAAACCACAGTAATATTGAATCTGGCTATTTGAGTAGACATACAGTATAGTATATAAGGCCCAGATATGACTTGTAATGGTAATGGTAATAGTGGGATATTTGTAGTGCGCCTTCCACAATAAAATCGTCTCAAGGCGCCGAAAAAAAAGGTAGGACCAAGAACTTAAAAGAAATTAAATTATATTATATCTTATATTAAAGAGCCTATATTAATCAGAATATTTTTTATTTTATTTATTATAAGTTAAATAAATATAAATAAATTAATAAAGTAAATAAATAAACAAATAGAAAATAAATAATTAAATAAATAAATAATTGATAAATTAAGCCTTCAAAAACAGGCAGATCAAAGAATGGAAAAAACCAAGCAGCAACATGAAAAATGCGCACTCCTGTTGTTAAGACGGCGTCACCACCACTACCGCGTACACGCAGGTACTCCGGCGACAGTATGCTGGGCTCCGGTAGCTTCCACCTTGGATAAGCCTCGGCTCTACTACCGTGCACTGCTAAGGTGGCGACGCCGGCTCAAGTAAGGGATTTGCGACTTTAATGAACAAAAAACAAAACACTTAAATATTCTTAAACTACAAAAATTGTAAAAAGATAAACTTAAAAAAGGTGGGTTTTAAGTTTCTTCTTAAATGTATGAACGGAAGTTGATTCACGAATAGAGGCTGGTAGGGTGTTCCAAAGTCTTGGTGCAGCGACAGAAAAAGCCCTATCACCATAAGTTTTGAGTTGTGCAGTTGCCCCATGGGTTGCCCCAGTACAGATTCTGAAGGATATAAAGGTTTAGTAATGCTCGGAGACACTTTACGAGTACTTCAATCAGAGTAATAATTTACAATTTTACATATATAATACATAATAATAATAATAATAATAATAATACTGTCTCTTATACACATCTAGATGTGTATAAGAGAATACATATATGTTAAAATAACGTTATAATATCGTATGAATTTGGTTCCAAAAAAAAAACAAAAAAAACTTAATAATACGTTTTAAAAACGTAATTGTGTGGAGTTTTAAAAGCGTTTTAAATACCGTTTTTATGTAACGTTTTAAAACGTCATTATAACGTTAAAATAGTTACATCGACTTTGGTCTTGTAATACGTTTTTAAAACGTTTTACGAACGTTCACAAAGGGTTTTTATTACGTTCGTAAAACGTTTCAATATAACGTTTAAAAAACGTAACGAACTGAAGTTTTTAAAGCGTTTTATAGCGTTTAAATATTTAGAAACGTCATAATAACGTGAAAATAACTCTAGTTACATTGACATTTTAAAAATGTTTAAAAACGTTTAGATACAACAAAATTACGGTAACATTTTGAGTTAGTTCGGTGTTGTAAGACGTTTTAACATGAAGAAACGCTACTGGTGGTATTTATTTTATTAATCAATTAATATATTTAATTAATTAATTAATTAATTACAAATTCGACAATAAAGTCAAGAGCTGGGAGCCATGGGCGAAGGGCTCAACACAAAGTGGGAACCTCTATACATAAAATAGAGACAATGTACAATATGTAAAATTAGAACGGAAAACCACTGTCATTGTGCTGTACGCTGAACCGTGGATATCCTTAGGTCAGCCTTTGGTCTCCGGTATGATTCCAACTACATTGTGTTAATTGTGATGCTCCGGATATATATACAAATGAGATCAACCACATAAAATCACTTATACTTACGTAGTGGTATCATTGTGTTTTATCCTTTAATTTATATACTGTACTGTACTTATGTTATGTACTACCATTGAGAAAATAGAACAGAAGGAGTAATAGCGATCTATGATCAAAGGTACAGACCTTTTTGCCGCGATGGCAATTAACTCAGTATTACGTAATATCTTAATCGCTCAGTGAGCTAGAAACATCAATAGCGCATGCGCGTAACTCGTCTAGCCGAATTTATTTTTAGTCGCGTCACCAAGATAAACAACTGCGTGACGTCGTCTGACCATAGAGAACTATCATCCCATGAATTATATCGCTCTGTCACGATGGATTTTTACGAATTAAATGACGAACTAGATTATGAAATTGTTGATGAATTGGATGCATCTAATGAACTAGAAGATCAAGAAAATGGTATAGTTTTAAAAAAAATGTATTTAGCATTAATGAATGCGAAGGTGTACCGTGTAATGTATTAACTATTATTAATAATAATACTTCATTATATGACTAGCCTAAGTAGAGCCCTATGCCCAGTATGTAGTAGCCTAGGCCAGTTGGGTTTTCGTGGTACGTGAATGTATGAATACGAACAGTATCACCTGCCTGCCTACCTACGCTAGGCCTAGGCGAGACTTTCATAAATTTAAATTTCAAGAAAGGCTAGTTTGTAATAAAATTTCGTTATTTTTATGAGCACTCCATTTTGCTTGAGGCATAGGCGTGGGGAAATAAACATTTTATTTTCTCTCTGTTTCCACCAAGCTCAGCTGTTTGTTGTACTCCCTTCCACAATATACACAGACGAAATCGGGACGGCTCCCGGTTCGACCGGATGTATTGAATTAAAATACACAGTAAAAATATTGAAGTAAATATATTGAATTCAGTGTTCGTGTTACAGCATTAAAATTTAATTAAAGAGTTGTTAGAAAAACATTTTTGAATTTTATTTAAAAATTTAAATAATTTCTTTTTTTTTTACAGAAAATTTGATTGAAAACGAAGTGGACTTTGAATATGAGAAAGAAACCAACACACCAGCAGATAATATTACTAGCTCTTCTTCAGTGTCTAAAAAAAAATAAAGAAAGGGACAAAAAAAACAAAAACAAAAACAAAAACGCGCAAGACAAAAAAAAAAGGACTAAGAAAACAGAAGCTCCTGTTGTTGGAGGTTTAAAAAACCACTCGCATTATCAACACCAAAACATGCGTGACAATCGGTGGAGCTGGGTTTCCTCTACACTTTCTTTCGAATGAGTGCATTTCATTGGCCAAATTTCCAACATCTGTAGTTCCGATCTTTCCAGAGCTGACTAAAAAAAAAACCCAGACTTGACTTTCATCCCATCAAATAAAAGCACTACGTGTTTTTTTAAGTCATTACCTTCTTGGTAGAGGTTTATATCCTCTACAACCTTGTCAAGCATCTCATGTAGAAGCGTTTTGGCGCAGCGTGGAAGGTTTGGTTTCCCAACCTTGAGGTCGAGGTTTCAATCCCTCGCTGTGCATTTCGCTTGTGTCCTTGAGCAAGACACTTTATCTGCATTGGTTCTCTCCACCCAGAAGTATAAATGGGTACCTGGTGGGGTTTGCTTGCTCCTGCGCTGAATACAGCAGCAACTTATGCACGTGGATCCAATGACCACCGACAGAAGCGCTTCGTATCTGCAAAGAAAGGCGCTATATAAATAAATATGAATAGAATAGAATAGAATAGAATGGAAAAACCAATTGTCACACCAGGAAAGTGGCTGTAAGGCTGCAGGGTGTTAGGATGTGGAATCCTCAAAATCCCTGATTTGCGGATCAATTTGTACGCTGACGACGACCGCTTGTGGACAGCGATGCGCCACGGAATTATTGCTGGATGCCACCGCATCTGTTTTCCCTTTCTGAATGATGACTGTTGTTTCTCCCACAACAGTTTCGCTGCTGAATGATCGGCAATGACTTTTTAATTTCAGAACTTGTCATTTCCATAACACTTTCCATTGAAGACGATGCTTGTGGACAATGCTCGCAACTTTCCTGTGAATAAATGTTCATAATTTTATCAAGACAGCCACTTCTCCTTTTTAACCTTCGGCAATCAGACTGTAACGAAGTTGCTTTATTACAAAGTTAGGAATTTAACAGGAATTTGTTTGGTAAAGTCAAAGTAGTTTTTTCTTTAGAAGATGCGCTCCTTAAATAACACAGGCCTTCTCGGTGACTCTTGCACACCTTGCAACGGTCACTGTCTTGGGGAACAAGCCGGCTGTAATCTGTGTGTCTGATTGTGTTCTTAATAGATATCCTTCGGTGTTACTTTCAAAGGCAGCTGCCCATCTGGACCTTTTCGTTTCTCAAATAAGCAAAGAAAATCTGAGTTTCCTTTACAAATTCTTGCTGTTGCCAGCAGACTGCAAAGTCGTGACCATTCTTAAAATTTAAGACTCTCCCTAAAATCTTCTCCAAGAACAAATTTAGTGTGCATGGTAACTCCGGCTAAAACAATACTCCATGTGAAGTTGCTGCTAATAAACTATGGGACAAGAGGTGAAAACAGCTCTAAAAAATGACTTTTGTTGTCTCCTTCTTGTGACTACCTAAATTATGGCTTAAAATGTAGGTATTGAATGCCTGATCAATATCCTGATATTCCCCAACTCCAGGAACGGAGCACTTCTGTAAAGTTAAAGGTCAAAGGTCACAGGTCATTATTTTACATGTTCTGGCTATAACTCAAGAACCACTTATGGGATCAACTTCAAACCTGGCTCATGTATGCATGTTGGAGTGATGATAATCTATTACAACTTTGGGGTCACAGGGTCAAAGGTCAAAAGTCATTTTTCACATTAAAATAGCTTGTTTTCACAATATCTTTTGGCTAGGTAAACTGCATCCTTTAGGATTTTCTTGGCCAACTGTCCCATGGTAGCAGGCATCTTACTTGGTATGAGGCATTGAAGCAATGCCTTGCCATCAATAATCCGCACTGACTCTTGTGGTGAATCCAAGATTGGAGATGACTCTGGCAAATTTTCCAGTTGGTGAAGAAGGTCAGCCTTGTTGTTTTTGATTAAGCATCCATCTTGTTTAGAATTGGCTTGTGGGTATGGGTTTAAGGAGTGATATTTTTCGTTGATCAACTTTACGTACACGGCCGATAATGATGAGCCTTGCCAGTAACTCACTGGAACTCTTCAGTAGGACTTCTTTCCCTTTCATGTTAACTTTTGGCTTGTCGGAATTGGCAAATGTCTTAAGCTTCATCTTACTTTAAGGAGATCTAAACACACACTGACTGGTGCAACAATGCCTGAAGAGAGGTGTACAAGATCATCAGTATCTGTCTCTCGATCTACCACAAACGGATTTGTCATGCTGTTGACAGTGCTCATGATGTTGGCTACATCCTGCTGGTCCCTTGTCATTCTGCTTTTTGTTAGGTCTTGTCTTTTTAAAAACTTTTTGCCTTTTCCAGCTATTTCTTCACATTGTCTTGTGATTAGGGCTCTTTCATGGTGGCTTCTGATCAAACGGTTTGTAGCTCCTTGGTTGTTTGAGAACCCCTTTACTCCTCCTCTGGTCTTTGTACCTCTATTCACTGTCTGTTCAATGCTCATATCGCATGACTGTCTTGGCGTTGGACTCCAAAGTGACCCCCATCAACTCTTTGTAAATGTAAGGATGGGTGGTAGGAAGTTGGCTCATCTCCATCCAGTAGACTTGAAGGTAACGTGTATAGTTTGTTCTGTCATAGGCAAACACTCAAGGAAGCAGGGCTCTGACTGAAGCAAGATGGAGTTGCCAATCCCCTTCTCGTGTTCCACGTATGAACTTGAGGATATTTTCATACATATCAAGATAAGGAGATCAAAAGTTAAACGTAACATCCTTCCTCCCTTCAATAAAATTCTCATACTCCTTGTCCATTGCTTGAAACATCTCTCCATGAATGTGGTCGGTGAACTCTCTTGGAAATGACACTTTTAGAGATGATACTATTTCTCTGTACTGATGTTGCCTCTCCTCTTCCAAGGTTCTCATGAAGCTCTGCCAGCGCAAGCAATGCAGAGTTTCGGCCATAAGTTGGTGACATCTGATACTTCTATTATAATTGTGGCCATTCATCACACTAGCGACTGAACCTGTAGCTACAACCTGCTTCGATAAGAATGTCTTGCAACCCAGCCTCCTGAAATGGTTTTCCATTACAAGGAAGAGCTGTATTTGTCGTGTGGAAAGACACAAGACGAATGACTATCTTCTGAAATGTTGGTTCCTGCTAGCGGATCGTTTGAGCTTTGCAATAAATGGCCTGGTCAACCACTATCACAATGGCTGGAAGTTCCAACTGATGTGCTATCTCCAGACTTCGGTGTAGTACTGTGTGGACAGTGTTAAAATCTGTTGGGCTGCCACCTATCACTGACAAGTACGCTATTGTTGCATTAGGACGGATAGTGGATGAAATCAGTAGATTAAATCCGGTCCACGATGGCAGTAGTCGTTCCTGTGAGGATTTTGCAACATAGAAGGCTGCATCCTTTTCTTGGTTGGAACGGAGAACATCATTGTACTGACTCATCTCAAGCAGCACAGAGTCAGCAAATGCCTCTGGTGATGACTTCCTCTGGCCAGTGAATCTCACCAGTGTTGTAGCAGTTGCAGGCAATAATCGTTGTCTAGTCTTCTTCCTACTCTGAGCTGGTAAAGCTTGGGAGATTACGGCAGCAAGATTTTCATGTTGTACAGCTATCCCATTTGTATTATGTGTTGTACCTTTTCCTGAAAGCGTTCTACGAGAGTAGTATAGGAGGACTTTTCCAGATTACTTGAACCTTTCTCTATTGCCTGCAGTGCTAGAGCCGTATCATGCTCCATCACATTGGTTTGTGACACACAATATCCAAAACCGTTAAGTAGACCAACCAGCTTTGATGATCCACTCAAATGACGCATTGCCATTGATAGAGATATGTGTTTGGGCATCATCTGCCTCCTCTTTGTAGCCAAGTAGATAATATCTTGACAAATTGTACGGATGCGGCGATCCTCTGCTTCTCCTATCTTGACTTTTGCCTTTTCTTCTGGATCATCAAAAGCACCTACAACCCAGGCTAGGAAATTGTACAGCTTTGAGGATACTATTATGCGTGCAGATTCCAATGTTAACTCAGATGATGTTGGAGGCCAATGTAGGTTGGTCCTGGTTTGCATGATGTCGTCCTTTAGGTCTTGAGCAGTGGCGTAACGATCTCGAAGTGAAGATACCGGCATCGGAGGTTTGGATCTGCCATTGCTGCGCTTCTGTCGCTTTTTCAGCGGTTCTACTCTTTCATCATCTTCTGTGATGTCTCTGTCTGTATTAGAGAAGGTATCTGTATCGGTGGTGGGGGTGTCTGTTTCTTCTCTAGAACCAACTGCTAATAGCACGGGGTCTTTGGTTGAAAGCGTATCAACAAAGACAATTTCAATGGTATACTTCTTTTTAGGCTGAAGGAAGCAGAGTTGAAGATACTTCCTTCTGATGCGTTGTTTGAGACTGAAGTTCTTGTAGCTTGAAGCATCCTGAAACTCAATGTCTCTCACGGCTTTCACAAACATTCGTCCCAATGATGACATTCTATATATTTGGTTATTTTCTTATCAGTAACATTGTTACAAAATGTGGCAAATGCCTTCCCATATTTCTCTTTGATGGGTTCAACAGGAATACACCTTGTCTGGTACACTGTGTAGTTCCTGAGAAAACTGCGATGATAACACCCCTCAATCGCTACGCAGTCTCGGTCCTGTATCTGATGGAGAATATGGGTCATCCTTCTTGTCCATGGCAGCTGTGATTAGTTTGCCACCATCTGGCAGCTTGCACAACATTAAGGGTTCCTACTTTTTCTTCCCTTCAGAGTGCTTAAATGTTTTATTTTTTCTGTAGATGATGCATAACTTGGGGAGAATATGGGCAGAGACAAAGGGCTGATTTAGAACACCAGCAAGACTTGTATCTGATGAACACGAGTGTCTCTTTGCTGACCACCTGGATTTGATGTAGAAGGATCCGATTCTGTAGAAATAAATA